GGGAGGCGGGGCGCTGATGGGTGTGGGGCTGTCCCCGGGTGGGCCTGAGGGGTGTGGAGCTGTCCCCGGGAGCTTATCCTAACTCTTTGGGAGGTTCAGATAAGTCAAATCTTACTCTTGATCCTAGGAGAGGTAGCTTCTGTGCAGCTAGGGTGGAAGCAGCATGGCTAGAGAAGCAACATGGGGCGATTCCTGTGAGGAGCTGGACCAGGAGAAATATGATGCAGATGAAAATGTGAAGATTATTTGCCTGGGGGACAGTGCTGTGGGGAAATCGAAGTGAGTAACCGGCCCTTATTGCCAGCCACTCTAATTATTGTTGTTACCTACATAGTGATAGTGATATGTTAGTTATGTCTGCAACCAAGAGAAAGGCTGAGTGTGAATAGCAATGGGATTCCTGACTGTATCAGGGAGAACTTAAAAAACAACTAATAGTCTAGCAACACCTTAAAGACTAACAAAACACGTACATGGTATCATGAGCTTTCGTGTCATCTGAAAAAGTGGGTTGTACCAACGAAAGCTCATGTCATTTCTATGCTTGCAGGTTAATGGAAAGATTCCTCCTGGATGGATTGTATCCTTTGAGCTCTTTCTGTCCTTCCCACTGTTTATTTTTGTCCTAGGTCCAACAGCGGGAGTGGGGGAGAATACAGGAAAGGGAACTTATCTGAGGCCTTTTTGTTTAACCAGGTTCTTCCCATCAGGTGCTTTCATCCCATCCTCATCAGAGTTCTGTTTCAAGGCTTTCTCTGCCTGACCTAGACTAGGGATGTTAGCAAGTAGTCAACTGGAGTATCAACTGCATACCCCCCTGTTCGCCAGCAAAGGGCGAGGAGTGGGGGGAACAGGAGCCAATGCTGGTGCGAGTTGGCTTAAAAGCCGTTTTCCCCCAACACCAGCTCCGTGGTGCCACCTGCCCCACCCTCACCCCGTTGCCTCTCAGAGGCAGTGGGAGGGGGAGAGGAGAGGGGATACGGAAGGCTGCTGTGAAGCAGCCCGATTGCAGCGGCCTAGGTTGGCCATCGTGAACAAACTCTGCTGGACTCAGCATTCCCACCCCTCTGAAAAATGTAAGTTACACTCACCTGTTTGGGCAGTGCTATTTCAGTGGGAGATGCTGTCTTGCCAACATAGCTACCGCTGCTCAGGGAGGCGGAGTAATTTTGCCAATGGGAGAGCTTTCTTATATTGGCACTAGCAGCACTATACCCATGCAGCTGTCTTGGTACAGATGAACCACTGTAGTGGTTCTAGTGTAGACTAGCCTTTAGTTTGGGATTGAAATTCTGAGGCAAACAAGTGAATGGCTTGGCTGTGCTACACATTGCAGAAGAGCAGCTTGTTGCCCCAGCTGCTGAGTGCTTGCCCTACCCTCCCACAAGCTAGTCCTGCTCACAGTTATAGTATTGAACATGAGATTGGTGTCTGGATAAGACTCCTGGGGCAGAGGATAAACACTCACTTTTCAGTTCCTTAACCTGTGCACAGCCAACCACAGCAGCTCTCTACATTTGCCTTGACACTCTACAAATACACAACCAATGTGGATGGGAAGAATATCCTTGTGGGTAAGCACCTCCTAGAGGATGAGTACATATCCTTACTCCTTGTGTGTTCTGGGTACAGCCATGGTAAATCCTTTCTCTGGCATCGCTAACGGATCTTTGTTGATTCTACAGATCCCTATTCACCTCAGCTGGGTGTAAACTGAACCTTTATAAGAGTAATGGCAGTGTTCAAGGTATCTGGGTCAATGTTGACCATTTTTGAAGAAACATTTGTGCTGACAGTGTGCTTGGACTGTATAGGACAAAAAGACAATGCCTGCCTTGAGGAGCTTGCAGGTCACACTGAGAAACTGATAAGAGGGAATGATCTTTGTTATTGCTCTGAACTCCTACTTGGGGAGCACTACAGAAGAAATGAGTCTAGGAAGGATTTGAATGAGAACTTTGTGAACATAGATCAGTATCATTTTGTGCCTGGAGGCAGCATGAAAAAGGCCCAGAGACAGAAGTGGAAAAAAGGAATGAAGGAATCATTGAAGCTTGTACCATTGGTGAAGTGGGCAGGGAGGCATGTTAAGAGAGAAGTACTGTGAAGTAGGCAGATGTGCAATGACATAGGACTTTGGAGACAAGACCTAGGAATTTAAAAGTAATGTAGTGGCAAAGAAGGAGCCAGTAGAGGGCCAGAAAAGGGTGATGAGGTCAGTTTGACAGGTAGAGAAGTTAATATTATGGGCTGCATTTTGGATGGCCTGCAGGGGCATGGAAGCCACAGAGAATAAGTCTGCAGCAGGGAGAATGGGAGGTGAGTGAATCCTAGATAGGTGCTCTAGCTTGTAGAATCAAAAAGAAGAGCTGTATTTCCAATATGTGGTGGAGGAAAAAGTAGTGAGATTTGGATGTGAGAGGAGCGAGGCAGAGGTAAGTAACATTGGGTGACAAGATGGTGGTGTTGTCATCAGTCATGGAAGACATTACTAATGTGCTTCACCACTGGGGCCGGGGGGGAGTGAATCCTAGATAGGTGCTCTAGCTTGTAGAATCAAAAAGAAGAGCTGTATTTCCAATATGTGGTGGAGGAAAAAGTAGTGAGATTTGGATGTGAGAGGAGCGAGGCAGAGGTAAGTAACATTGGGTGACAAGATGGTGGTGTTGTCATCAGTCATGGAAGACATTACTAATGTGCTTCACCACTGGGGCCGGGGGGCACCACCAACCAACGCCTCTCGGGGGTGGGGGACGGAGGCCGGGGGCACCACCAACCAATGCCTCTCGAGGCCGGTGGGCACCACCAACTAACAGCTCTCGGGGGGGGTGGGGGGGC